GCCAGCTGCTTTTGCATTTGTTTTCAGATGGCTGTTTGCCAGATGAGTTATCTCACTTGCTGGTAGTTTATTGTGACACTTGTACACATTATACTTATCACCTTAAGTTATACATCATGACCAAACATTTTATGACCTCTATTCTCAAGTTCAGACACATCTCTATCATTGACAGAGATGAATGCAAGGGAATCAGGCATGTATTTGTGAACTTGTTATCATTAATCTTGTTACTTTTATGTTTGTTTGATAAATATTATAGGAAATACCTAATCTCTATTTTGATGTGCTGGTAAGCCCTATGCATGCATGAGATTGCAGATCTGCAATAGCACTTTCCAACACTTAAGCAGATTCAACATAAACATTTCTTCTAAAGATACCCAGAGAAGCACTAATTTGAAGCAAGACATGGAGATTGGTGGAACTATGATTAATTTCATTTGTCTTGTAGGGTGATGCTGGTTTGACTGGAAGGAAAATCATTGTTGACACATATGGAGGCTGGGGAGCACATGGTGGTGGTGCTTTCTCTGGAAAAGATTACACCAAGGTGGACCGTTCTGCAGCATATGCAGCTCGCTGGGTTGCCAAGTCACTGGTCAAGGCTGGACTTTGCAAAAGGGTCCTTGTTCAGGTAAATTGACTGCAGCAGAATTTCCACTTGAACATCAATAGCACATTTGATAGTACAACAGAAAGGGTCAATTGTAATATTCCAACCAAAATAATCCCAATATCTTGACAAAACCATGTACTTGTTGAAAAAAATCATCCTGGTAAAAAAAAATTTAAAATTATTTACTTTTTCCCCACCAAGACTGGGCGTGAATATTTTTATTATCTTTCTGCATGCCACATCTTGGAAGTCAGTCATCTTTAAAATAGGGTTATAGTTACTCCTGAAGTCATAATACAAAAATTTTGTTTTTGATACTCCTGAATGAATGGTTATATTAACATCAGGTTACTGGTAGGAGTTCTTGTGGCTAGGTGGTCCTAAATGAAAATGATGCCACTCAGACCACCACACTACTTTTACTGAAGAAATCGTATCAGCATGGGGTTTTCGCTGAAAGACTGATCTCTGGTTGGTCATAAATGAAAATGATTGAAATATGGCCGCCATTTGGAAAATCTTGTTGATATTTCTAGATGGCTGTTCAATATCATCCAGTTGATTTGACATCCGATATGGCCACAATGGCATCAGTCTGGAAAATTCTATTATCCCCTCAAAGCAGAAAGGAGTGTCATCAGAATTCTAAATTAAAATGTTGATATATAAAAAAAGAAACATCTGAATTTAGATTTTAAATGTCAAAGTTTTGGCAGTACAGATTGTTAGAACCAAATTTCTGGCACATGTCAATGTGTTGTGGGTGGGCAAGATCTATCTAACACTGTAAATTTCCTGACTCTGACTTTTTATAAACCAAGAGGAGAGCTTCCAGTCTCCATCTATCCTAGCAGCATTGCATGAAATGAAACAATCCATTGAAGAAACTTCTTCCACTGGTGTCACTATGCAAATAAATCCTTTTTTAAGTTGTATTCCATCATTTGGTGTGCCTAGCTGCTCTCTGAATATCCAAAGTACACCTGCTGACTTCATTTGCAGGTTGCCTATGCCATTGGAATTGCCGAACCACTGTCAATAACTGTGTTCAGCTATGGTACGTCAGAGAAGTCCGAGAAAGAACTGCTTGACATTGTGAAAGCAAACTTTGATTTGAGACCCGGAAAAATTGTCAAGTAAGTTTGAAAATGTATATACTTTTCAGAGGTCTGTGTGTTTGTTGTACTTTTAAATTATGGAAGAGCAATTCTCTGCATGGTTTGTATTGAGATTTTTTACTTCGTACAAGAGCTGACAGTAATTTTATTAGCAATTTAAAACTTTCTCTTAGGTCTAGTGTCTTTCACCAGTGCTATCAGGCAGCACAGATGTGAATATGTTTTAGGGACTGTTGTGTCAGTATCATAGGAATAAGTTTTGAAGGGTGTTAATCAGCATGATGTGAATGTTTTGAAGGGTGTTGTGTGATGTGCATGTTTTGAAGGGTCTTGCATTGTTATGTATATTTAGTTTTCCTTTTTTTTTTTCTTTCATTATTATTATATGCTGTGGGTTATATAAAATTGTCTTGTAGCTGACATTGTCCAAAATAAAGACCATATTCTAGCTAACCAGAATCATTGATCATGGTTTTGTAAATACGTTTATCTCCACAATGGAAATTCACCTTGGAATGCATGGTCTACCACATTCTGTATTATAATTTTAATAACAGACCCAGAAATCACGCTACCAGGCGAAGTGGGCACTATTTTAACCGAAGGCCAAATGCATTTACATGGTGTTGATGCCAATCCGCTTATGGCAGCAAAGAGATTCTTGCACATTTACATGCTTACATGCAAGTTTTAATAGCTAGCAGATCATAAACCCTTTTAGAAGCCAGATATCACTGCTTGATTTCATGAAGTTGGACACACTGTGTGCTATGATGAAAATATATTAAATTCTGTTTTGAAATTAAAACAATAATATCTAAATAGTAATTTGCTTTAAAAATATTATCTGTGAAGATTTTTCTAATTGCATTCTTTTTTTAATAAATGGAGATTTTAACTTCCATATTTGTGGATTTTCTGTATAAAATCAGTTTGAAACAAACTTTTAATGGCTGGACATTGCTGCATATATGATATACGCTTCATTAAACTGTATTCATAAATAATTGCGCAAATAGGTTCAGGAAAATATATAATATGAAAACAAGGTTTAAATATGTCATAAAAGATTTAGCATGTGTGTGTGTGTATATATATATGTGTATGTGTATATATATATATATATATATATATATATATATATATATATAGTGTGTGTGTGTTTATATTGTCCATCTTTCCTTAATTTTAGATTCTCAAGATCAGTTCCTCTGTATAAAGCCTTCATGTGAAATATAGTGGGTAGGAGATAGTTTGCAAGTTGGCTTTGATCATGACCATATATACCTCCCGGCATTTTATTTTCACTTGACAGGGAATTGAACCTGAAGAATCCTATTTACCAGAGGACTGCTTGTTATGGACATTTTGGAAGACCTGAATTCACCTGGGAAGAGCCAAAGAAACTGATCTTCTGATGTGGGGACTAGGTTACAATGAAACCCCTCAAAACCAAAACCCTGTAGGAGCCCAGATTTAAGTTTAATTTGATAGGTTTTAAATTTACTGGTTGGATCATGTGCATAAACAGATTGTCTTAAATGCATGTATGTTGATGTACAAGTATACCATCATCAGTACAATCAAAATTGGCAACTTTTTTAAACTGTGAGGTTGTACGAGTGCAAACAACTTAGTGCTGTTATTTTATTTTAAGGAAATGTTAGCTTAATAATGTGTTCCTTACAAATACTGTTTTGTTGGTCTCATTGGCAAGGTATTGAAAGTAAAGGCCACAGTCAAGTTTATTAAAGCTCAGGTATTCAATTCTTTTTTCTTAAAATAAATTATGTTGATCATTTATGCTAAGAAACCTCAAATACGAGTAACAAACACACAAATGTTACCAATTACTGACTTGTTTACAAGTATTTTATTTTAATTTACCTTAAAAGCTGGCCTTTCTAACATATAAAGACTTGAGATTAGCCTGTTATCAGCAATAATCTATCTGTAATATTTTTACCTGGTAAGCACATGTGACATTACTCAGATTGATTTGCTGTGACATTTCTCAGATTGACTTGCTAAGTTAGTCTACTGCAGTTTTTGCGGACAGTAAATAATATGGCCCAGGATGTATGTGAAGGGTGTCATTTACTTGACCCGTGACCAGTCTTTTTTAGGGCATCAAATATTAACAATTTTAGGAACTTGGCTAAAATATGTTTAAAATGTTTTAAGAGTCTTTTGGTTTTATGTGAGCAGATTTAAAGTAACATTAAAATTTTGACGAAGCTATTTTGGTTTTCTAAGTTGTGGGGTTTTGATTTTTGAGTTCCTGTATACGGAAGGTTTTGATGGGTTTCATAGTATATTATTTTTACCACTATTTGTGACACAAATGATTTCACTATTAAATTTTATTTGATTTTTCACCCCGTATAAAAAAAAGTTTTAAAACATGTTATGGAAAACGGAATACAACATTCATCCCAAGTGGGCTACAGTAGTTAGAGGGATAGATTGACACGGAGATATGCCATGGCAACTGATGGACTAGTTTGAAAAAATGTCCATTGCCCTGAGGAGATTCATGCCATATCTAGTCTTAATCTGCTCACCCTTTAGCTAGTGCAAGTACGCGAATCTTTGAAAACGCGTTCTTGTCTTGTGTTTATAAAAATTAATTGGAAAAGAGCACTATTTATAAACACTCGGGCCTACTTTTTCCATAATATTGTGCTCAAGGCAAGACCTTTTAAATGTTTTATTGTCACATGTTTTTAGTGTTGTATATATTTTATGGATTCATGATACCCTCAGAGGGTTTTTTATATTTTACATAAAGCATGTTTGATTTTGCTCCGATATTTGTCCCATGAAGCTATTAATGTTTTGATGTTAGTTAATGTACTTGAAATATTTATGCGAGATTGTGTGACTGAGAGTGGTAGATGTTACATATTACAGGACAAATGCACTTTATAATGAATTCCATTTATAATGTATATACATGGGATAAAATAATAAAATGGTCAATAAAGTTAATAATGGTCCAATTTTTCATTCTATATATTAAAAGTTATCCAACCTTTAGAGTCTGTACTCTTTTTCAGGCATTTATCTTCTCTCATGCAAAGACTTGCATCCACACAAAATATTCTAAGATCATAAGAAAATTGTTTCATTTGCATTAACAGAAGTTGTGGTTTTGATAAAAGGATTCCTGTTTCTTTCAAAGATGAAAACGCCATGTTTGTTGACCCTCCAGAACATACACCAAATATGTTCTTTCATTTTCATCTTTCCGTTTTTTGAACTGCACCCTTGGCCTTGGTGGTTAGAGCATCTGCTTTGGATGCAGGAGGCTGTGGGTTTAAACCCCAGTCAAGTCATATCAAAGAATAGTAAAAATTGTACTAGCATCTGCCTCACTTGGCAATCAAAAGGTTAGCATTAGAACTGCTCAGCCTGGTGTCAGGATAATGTGACTGGGTGAGACATGGTGCTACATGTCTGCAGCATGATGCTCCAGTGCTAGACGCGGCCACACTGCAGACATCATAGTACTCCCACTTTCTCTGGCAAGTTTGAGATCATTTAAAAATCTTAAAAATTTTCAGTTCTATGGGGGCATTGCCATTATCATGACTTTGATCCAGTACAAATGTTTTCAAACTTTTTTACAGGGAATACTGCAACACATATTTTAATGCAACTTTCCATAAGTCTGTATCTTGATTAGTTGTTATTCCATAGACATGCACCTGTCTGAAGCTCAAGGTCTCATCAAGGGGCGCTTGTTGCCTAAAGGGGTGGGTGTTGCTTGTCATCTTACCTCAGTCTGTGGGGTTCCAATCTTGGCTTGATTAGCATCCTGTGGGTTTATGGTTGTTGGGAGGTCTTCCATTTCTTTCTGCACCAAATCTTAGTTACCGTAAATATTGTAAGGATCAAATTAAATTTGTCAGCAAGAATACATAACAGTATATGGGATCCAGCAGTTTACCACTTGATCAATAAATGTTATTTATATGGCAATGAAAACATTTATTAGATGAAGAAAAAATTAAAAATGCATTTCTTATAAACAAAAAAATGCATTTAAGAAAAAGAGGATATAGAAGAACATCCATTCCTGGTGAGGCCAGATGCAAGACAAGTTGTGGGTGTTGGTAATGTAACTAATGATATGGATGTAACAGTGGAATATCGGAGGTTATTAAGCTGGCTCAAACTTTTAATCTGATATAATGCCTGGAGATTTAAACAGTTGTGGGGCAAAAAAAAAGTATACTAGGCATCAAAAAGAATCATACATGCCAACCATTAAGCTTTTGGCATAATGATTATGCTTTTGTTTTCACTAAATTACTTGTCCATAAATGTATTTGCATTATGCTTTTTCTCATTTTTATTAGCATCCCACTAATCGCACAGTACATATTCTAGAAAAGACTGCTTCTGTGTAACTATGACAAAAGTACAGTCTGTAGACTAGCAGTGACCTTCCATAGTGTTATGTTCTATTTATTGCAGTTGCCCCATTTCCAATAAGATCTGTTTCTAATTTTTGCAGCTCTAGCTTAGGACAGAACAGACTGGTTTTCTAATTTTTTTTATCTTTGCTCACATACTCTTTGTTCAAAATGATGTATGGTTTCTTCCTCCACCAATAATACTGGCTGCCATGTACCACCTTTCATGTCTTGAAAAATGGCGTTAAGCCCCACAACATTTCTGAAATGTAAAGAAACCTCAGATGGGATGAACAGATATTAAATCATGTCTACTGTTGTGCATTTGAATGAGTTGCGTTTCCCAAAGTGTTGATGCATTATTGCTGTCAAGCAGGAAGCTGATTTGCCTGTTGAACAGGTAGTCTTGAAAAAGTTGTACCAGGCATGCAAAATAATGAAGCCAATCTAAACATTGTTAAAGCAGAAGCCCATTTTGGAAATGAGGCCAGTGATTTATTTTGAACTGAATGAGTCAATATACCCACTGACAAATCTAGCCAAACCAAGTCAAATCACTCATGAAGTTTAGATAGACTGCACCAAAAAAAAATGGCACAAATTACTGGTATCTTGCAAATAGGAACTTTCCAATGCAATAAGTGAGGCCTAGTGATTCTCAAGGGGACAATAGTTGAGGTACAGTCATCTCCTTTGCCACCATGGTAGCTAGGTTGGGCTGAAAGAGAAAGACATGAAAACTTGGATTGACTTGTGCTTCATATAATTGTCTTTTCAAAACTGTTTTCCTATTTTGACCAATCACCCATTGTTTAATTCCTATTTTGACCAATCACCCATTGTTTAATTCCTATTTTGACCAATCACCCATCATTTAATTCCGATTTTGACCAATCACCCATTGTTTAATTCCTATTTTGACCAATCACCCATTGTTTAATTCCTATTTTGACCAATCACCCATCATTTAAATCCTATTTTGACCAATCACCCATTGTTTAATTCCTATTTTGACCAATCACCCATTGTTTAATGGTAAATTTTGACTGCCATCAATATATATATATATATATATATATATATATATATATATATATATATATATATATATATGTTAATAAGCTAGGCAAGCTCAACTTTGCCAGCATTGACTTTTCAGTAAAGGTTAGCTATATTTTAAGTTTAATCACCAAAAATATGTTAATATCTTTGAATAAAGCCAAAGGGCATATGTCAACTAGGCATAAGTGAGTCTCAAAACTCAAGACAACATTTGAGATACCTGTGCTGCTATTTTTGGACATGGAACCCAAGCTAACATGATATCGCAAAGCACGAATTGGGAAAAGCATGTCTGCTACCAGTGTCTCAATTACTAAAGTCAGGCATGCATATTGGAAGCTCACACCAAAGACTAGTGGTATAGGAGAAAATCCCAGCATATATAGATAGGCCTCAAACAACTAAAGGCTCATTTTGATCACAGCGAGGCCAAGTGAGCACTGCCCAATTTTTTTTACTGAGTAGACAATTCTTGACCTGAGCAAACACTTGTGGATGATTTCTTCCACGTTCAGATAATTGTGCATTACATCATTAAGGAGTTCCTGCTCCACGTGGACACATGACAGATTGCAGCTTAACTAAAGACCGCTGCTGTGTACTGTGATGTCTCAAAACGTTCACCTCTATGACCTGAGCTAGTGCTGTAAAATAGCATTCAATATACGGATCAGCGAAGAAAATGTCCAAATGCTCAGGAAAGCCCATCGTTGAGTTCATCCACCTTCCGTCCCAAGATGTGCTCAGTACTAGTTGGAACAACCGATATGCAAGGCAAAAGTATTGTCATTTAAACAACAGTTGTAACGCCCTAACTTAGACACCATCACAACCTAGATTGCCTCCAAGAGCAAATGTTTTGATACTCCATGACCGCCGTACGCAGCAACCACCACAAAATGGGAATGTATTGCATAAAGACGCCTTAGTCTGCTGCACACCAAAATGTGGATTGGCGCAGATGGTATTGCCACAGAAGTCTGACGTACGATAAAGTACGATGAAATCACCTTATAGGTATTATAAATGAACATGTCTAATTATAATACCGGTAAGGTGATTTCATATTGTAATGTGAGTCAAATTTTATTGATAAAATGTCAGACTCCTGAGGTAATACAATTTGGGCATCTGCAGATCTGCCAATCCTCACGAATTTGTCGTGTACATACACAACACTACTAATTTTTTTCGACTAAGAATTTTTTAGATGTTGAAGAATTAGCGTAATTTGATCAAATTCATATTTTTCCGCGCATGCGCTGACACCACAAATCGTTAACCATTTGAAGTTTCATCTTTTGAATTAATATTTTTTTAATTAAACCACACTACACTAAAAATGTTTTCACTTCCAAAGAAAAAGGCATATATTCCACAAAAAGTGAGGCATAGATTGGAATACACCAAAAATTGGCCTTTCATTCAGCCAGAAACATCGATGGACATTATGTTTTTGCACAGTAGTGTGGCTTGAATTATTAAACAACGATACGAGACCCTGTGGGCATGTGGTAGAACGACGTGAAAAAATATACTGCTAGCAAAAAGCATGTATATATTGGGAAAATTAATAGCACGCCCAGCAGATTTCAGATCTGGGGTACTTTAAGCCAGCTGCTCTAATCCTGAAAGCTACCAATGCTGAAGTACGAGGTGCCGTAGTGGACAAAAGCTGGTCCAATCAGAACATTGCCGTTGAAATTTTAATGCCATAGGTCCAGAACAATTTCACGTGTTGGATCAAAAATGCTTGTTCTTAAAGTTCCATTGTAGATTGTATCTGTTGAATAAAACTAGTGGTTGAAAGTTATATTTTATAGTTATATTTTTATATATGTCGAGGTTTTAGATCGTTTGGCTTAAATTACACGGTGGTGGTTGAAAATTTCAATGTCATACGCCATGAATTCCTAATTTATGTATTAGTTCAAAGAGTTTATGTTGAAAGTTCCATTTAATATGTTGAATATTTAGATTTTACCTTTTAAATTACACAGCTGTTGTTGAATTGTTAATGAATTTCTTCTCTAGATATCTCTTTCGTGAATGGACAGCGTTATTTTTAAACAATGATGCTGCTTCTCGTTGTTATGAAATTCAACAAATGAAATCTAAATACTCTAAAATGAACTGGATGTTTCATCACAAACAGCTGAATACAACGTGTGAATTAAGAATTCTCGACATGTGATATTGAAATTTCAACCACCGCTAAGTAATTCAAAATATACACTGCAAAACGTCGACTTATGAAATAGAACTTTAAACCACCACTGTATAATTCACATATAAAATCTAAAATCCTCGTATAGAAACTAGAACTTAAAGGACATACAATTTCATCTAACAATACGTGATATTGGATTTCTCGATATGACATACGACATCGAATTTTCAACTGCAACTTTCACATGTGAACAGCTTTTGTTCGTTATGGCGCCTCATACTGAAGCATTCTTCATGGATTATCTTGTTGATTACAGCCATCCTTTCTTAGTTTGAGAACATGAACAGTGACAGTGAAGAAAAATAAGACATACTTTATGGTCTCTCCTTAGGTGCTGAAAATTTGCAACAATTTTAGTCACCAATATTAACCAAGCTGCAAGAAGCCTAAACTTAAAAAAAAAATAACATTGCCAAATTGTGGAAGTTTAAAGTCTTCCACATGATCATATCGTGACAAATAGTGTTAGGTTTATATATATATATATATATATATATATATATATATATATATATATATATATATATATATATATATATCTATATATATATATAAGTAAATTTGACTGCAAATAAATTTGTACATGTAATCAGTGTGAATAATATGTTTTAGTTTTATTTCGGGATTTTCA